GATAGCTTTTTGGCTCAGACTGTTCAATTAAATTGAGTGTCTTCAAATTTTTAAAATATTTTCCTTTACTTCTTTAGGGTAAGTGATGTGGTATCTACTGCAATAGCTTAAATTAATTTTTATGTAAAAAGGAGTGCTGTTTTTAAGCTGAAAGTATGGTGGATAAGTTCTGTCTGCTAAGCATCTCATCAGCCTGGACTGTGCTTTTAAAAGGGTTGGTCTTGTCTTCAATCTTCTGCACTTTGGCTAAGAGAAAGATAAATCAAAGTTTTCCCGTTTCTCTGTTCTCTCAGTTCCCTCTTCCAATGGCAACAATCTTAAATTGCCTTAACAAAGAGCTATGTGTAGTTTTCGTTATGAACTATATCTGTACAGTTATGTCTTTGAAAAGGTTGATTGTAACCTTTTTCAAAATTTATAACCAGTTTTTAAATTTAATTGTCGTTATCTGTGAAAGGCTTTCTTAGAAAAGGTGATTTACATCTAGCGCATTAAATAACCAGTTGAACGTACTAGATGCATGTCCTCTGGTAAGCTACTCCAGAAGATGTAACTTGGCATAGCAAGATTTCCATAGCAAGCATTCCCATAGACTCCTCTAAGCATCTTTCATCTGATGTCTGCAAGCCTAGTAATTGGTACTCAGACCCAAAATCCATCTTCCAACTGGGACCAGCTGAAGGCTTTCAAGTACCAGTTTCTTCTTAGTTTTAAACTCAAAGTGAGATTGCGAGATACTTTTTCCATGTGCTTCAGTTTGTTATATGTAAGGGTGAAAAACTTCAACCTGCAAATAGACATGATCAGTCTCGTGTCGCTACTTTTCTCTTTCTACATAGCATCCAACACAACCTAGAGTGATCTGCAAATGGGGAGACAAAATGCCTCCTCTGAATGCATCACAACCTCAAAAGCAAAGCGGAAGTAAGGTATTATGAATGCCAGTGATTGAGCAAGAGAATGTTCCACACTAATCTGATCCTTATTTCCCCTTCTCTCCCAAGAGTCAGTCTAGGGATGCTAAACTGTTGAGATGGACTATTGAGCGGTTGGATTAACAGGATGGGTCTTGCTATTCGTGATGAATCACTGGTATGCTGAGTCCAGGCCCTTCCCTTCCTGTGAGCAGCTGATGACACACAAATGATCTAGGGGGCAGTCGAGGCACCTCTGAAGGCATCCCAGACTTGCTTATTGTCTTCAGAAACCCAATTCAGTCAGGACTTTCAGAGTAAGGTGGCAAATGATCTCAGTGACCAGCTCCTTACTATGGTCTTACAAGGCATGTAGTTCATACATGCTTGAAAAACATGTTCACAGTCATACGGAGAACAGGTAGCTCCATAATGGAAGGTGTCTCAGATAAAAGATTTATTTTTTTATCACTTCCCCTTGCGAAGTCAAGGGAATGGATCATCTTCTTAGACTCCACGTAAATCTAGCTCCAGTTTGTCCTCAGCAAAAGTAATGGGAAGTGAATTGCCAGTGCCCTTTCATAATTGCAAATCCTTAATTAAAAAAGGGTAGAAGGAGGCACTTAAAATGCCAACCTCAGCAAGTAGCAGACCCCACTACTTGTGAGAATTAATTATAACTTGTCAGAATAAAATTGGTTTGTTCATTAATGTGGTTGGTAGTATTCAAAGAATTAAAATTAGATAAAAGGCATTGTCCAAGGGTGGAAGAAGATTATCTTACTCCTTAAAACTGCATGTGAGGTGCAGAAACTTTGAAGATGGTGTCAGGCTTACCGGGCAGTGCTATTTTGGTTGATTCTGCCTTAACTTACAGTCATTTTAGGAGAAGGTAGAACAGCTAATTTAGTCTGGTGATCCCTTCATCCTCTTACTATGAAAGGTTGATTTCCAGTTAGTGAAACCAGACCCCACTTTTTGCCCCTTGGGTGAATACGTAGGGTTTTTGGAGCTCACCTGTTACTATGGCAGTTTATTGAGCAAAAGGTTGTGTGTGGTATCAAGTGGATTTAAAAGGAGAAAAAAGACCTAGAGAATATTTCTGGGCATCTCAACTATTGCTCAATACTAACTTATCGTGATGTTTATGTGAGTTTACTTTTAATTAGCAAGAACCTAGTGTGAATAGAAAATAGTGTATGCATACAGATTTTTAAGCATTCTGCTAGACAGGGCTCTTATGTTTGCTTCTTTTGTATTTTTTTCTGCTTTTCCAGTTTATGACTAGTTCTTGAAGCCCAAAGTACTGTTTCGTTGCCATCAAAGCACTCTTTTCTGCTTCATTTCCAAGATAGTACTTTTTCCCAAAAAAGCAACATGTTGTCCTGCATAATAACTAAAATGGACCTTGAAGAGGGAAAGATTTGTATCCTGATTCTCTACTTCTATACCATGTACATCATTTACACATGTCCAGATAAATGCAAAAAAAATGGCAACCGCATTGTCTTTTGTTCTGACAAAACCCAGCAAAATACTAGGTATGTCAGGAATAGTAGATGTGCCAAGAAAGCTTGCCAAGAACAGGGCACAGAGAAGTGAGTATAAATATCTTTATGAAGGTCTTTATTCCCTTAAATATGGTATTACTTTTCATAAAGGCATTCAGAACAGAATTCAAAGATTCTTTTCCCTTTAAAGCAGCAATTCTTAAATGAAAAAAAATGAACAGTATTCTTATTTCTGCTGGTTTGGGGTTTTTTTTGGTCTGTAGCTAAAGTCTGACAGTTTCTGCCTGTTTACCACATACAGATTATTTTAAAGTGTTGTGGGTTTTTTTATTGGTATGCTAAGCAAAATTTTTATATTAAACTGCATAACTGTCTTTGCATGCAGTTCTGTATAAAATAATTAAAACATGAATTTGTGTAACTGAAATGGTCTCCCCATAGAGGTAATCCATTTTAAAGGGAAACCAAAACATGTAGGTCGATTCCTGTTAATTACACCTCTCCTTCAAAGCACAGAATGCTGAAGAAAGCCTTGAGCAAGCGGTGTTCTTGCTGCTTATATTTGTAAATGTCTGAGTCTACGTTCATAAAGTCTTTAGCAGCTTCCTCCCACCACCACTCACTTTGGCTTTTTTTGATAGTGTAATGTTCCTATTTGTAACCTCGTGTCTGCAATGATGATAATCTTTCTCTCCGTTGGTTCAGGATTTGTAGCCGTAAAGGCAAAACTGAATTTTTCCCCTCAAGGTTAGGTGTGGGGCCAGGCTACTGTCACTACAGGAAGAGGACTAAGAAGGAGTAGGGTTGGACTCTAGAGAAGAGGACGTACGTTGGCAAGAGGAGAGGGAGGAAGAGGCAGGCTTGCTCTTAGAGCTGCTCCTGGGAGGATATAAGGCAAAAATAAAGACTTCTTCAGAGCAGCATATTGCCCTCCGGCTTCTCCCTGTAGCAGTAGCTGCCCAGCAGTAGCAGGCCCTTGGCACAGCACAAAATCAAATGTGCCTTTCCAGTAAATATACAAAATACGTATGAGGGAATGAAAAGCAGGGTCTCTTTTTGCCCCCAACAGTTTCTTGCATGCTTTCTCCATGGCACATTTGCAGTGGCCCTGATTCTTGCTGCTGTGCTCAGAAAGCTTTGGCTCTTGATTGCTCTTCCTTTTCTTTGGATTTTAACAGAAGGTGGGGGTTTTTTTTCAAATTCCAGTAAATTTCCTTGTGAGTTGCACCATTAAACTTGGTGTTTCTGTGCTAAAACAATAGTATTCTGTAACTTTATATAGTAAAATATTTACCAAATAAAAAATGGCTTGTTGAAGGCCAGGATAATACCACACTTACTGTATCAGGTTGTGATGGAAGTCTTTTTGCTGATAGTACCAACTAGCCTAGGCAGTACATCCTCTTTCATTACATTGAAGATCACAGAAAGAGTTGGGCGTTTGTTCTTTCAATGCGTATCTATCAACAGTGATAGTCTTAGTGTAAATCAGAACCTATTTTCTGCTATTGGTTCTTATTAATTTTATTTAGAAGGCAGAAGTGTGAAGTCCAAGCCCTAAAAAAATACATGTAATACTCCTTCATTGTACATGTGGTTCACAGCCTACACAGGCCTAGATCATAACCAGCCACTCAGTTTTTAGGCTTAGCTCTGAGAAATTTTCTGGTTGACAGCCGGCTGAATATGAGCCAGCAGTGTGCCCAGGTGGCCAAGAAGGCCAATGGCATCCTGGCCTTTATCAGGAATAGTGTGACCAGCAGGACAAGGGAAGTCATCGTGCCCCTGTACTCGGTGCTGGTGAGGCCGCACCTCGAATACTGTGTTCAGTTTTGGGCCCCTCACTACAAGAAGGATGTTGCATTGCTGGAGCATGTCCAGAGGAGAGCAACCAAGCTGGTGAGGGGTCTGGAGCACAAGTCATACGAGGAACGGCTGAGGGAACTGGGGTTGTTTAGTCTGGAGCAGAGGAGGCTGAGGGGAGACCTGATTGCCCTCTACAGCTACCTGAAAGGAGGCTGTAGTGAGGTGGGGGTCGGCCTCTTCTCCCTGGTAACAGATGATAGGACGAGGGGGAATGGTTTGAAGCTGCGCCAGGGCAGGTTTAGGTTAGATATTAGGAAAAACTTCTTCACTGAAAGGGTTGTCAGGCTCTGGAATGGGCTGCCCAAGGAGGTGGTCGAGTCCCCATCCTTGGAGGTATTTAAAAGAAGGATAGATGAGGTGCTTAGGGACATGGTTTAGTGGTGGGATGGCAGGGTTAGGTTAACGGTTGGACTCGATGATCTTAAAGGTCTTTTCCAACCAATATGATTCTATGATTCTATGATTCTATGATTTTCAATGTTGCTGTGACTACTTGTTGTGTATTCAAAGCTGTCTTCCCACTGCAAAATTCTGCAGGTATCATTCAGCCGCATTTTACAATGTACTCTTACTTTCTTTTCTTGACGGAAGCAGCTTTATTAAGCGCACCCATGCTGTGAAGTGTTTTAGTGTTTTTTTTTTTAAAAAAAAACCAAAAGCTATTCAATCTTCTCAAGTGTTAATTATTAGTCATGTGCTTTTTTGATAGGAGTTCTCTGGAATCTATCCTCCTGTGATGCACTGAAAATGCCAATCATCCAGGATGCCCTCGCAGTGTTGACCAATGCAGTGATCATCCCTCACTCTGGATGGGAAAACTCTCCGCTCCAGGATGATCATAAAATACAACTCCATTCATCACAGGTGCTGCGCAACGCCACTGGGTGCCTAAGGTGAGTACTGCAAAACATTTGCTCTGCCTTAATCTTCTTGCTTTGGCTTGACTTGTATTTCTCTTTCTTAGGCATCTGTAAAATAAATAATCGGTTTATGTGTCAGTAAAGACAATGACTTTCAGTGCTGTAAACTTGAAGTTGGAAATTAATTAGAAAACAAGCTTCAGGCCATTCAAAAAACAATCTCTAGAAGCGCTGCTTTGGGTTTTCCATTTTTCTTAACTGCTTTGACCAATCTTCTCATCTAAGCTTGTATATTACAGATGTTTTTCTCCTTGTAGATTTGTCCCATTTCCCCAGTTGCTTAAGTGAAGTCAATATGTTCTCACTATTACGCCCAATTTAATCAGCACAAAAAGTAATGAAGATGCTCAAAAAAGTAACATGCCTTACAGGTTCCAGATGCCATTGCTGGAGTTATGATAAGTATGTAAAGTAGACTTTTTCTGCTCTGTGAAGATGAGAAATGGATTTCAATAAGAGACCAACCAATTTAACACCATGCAACTGGAATACTTAAATAGATCCTTAAGAAGTATGGATTTATTTATATTTGTATGCCAAACTTGTATATGCAACACTGAGGTGCTCTTACATGAATATGTACAACGTGATCTGTCCGTTCCTAAAAATCACTGTAGATGTGAGAATGAAAATAGGATGAGTAAGAAGAGTTTCAGTTCTGACAAAGCCTTACAAAAGGATTGAGTCACAGCAATTTCTGAATTCCAATCCATATAATTTTGTTGAAATATTTTAACATATTAGGCAAGTTCTTTCAAGCCATCTTTTTTCTTGTATATTGGAGATTCTGTAATCTGTCTCAGAGACATGAAAATCGATTAGTTAATATTTTTACATACATCACAGAAAAATTATTAGGTGAACAGTATGTGTCAGTAATACAATCTATGTTATATGCTGCATTCGAAGCAGATATCCATCAAAGAGCTAAATAAAAAAAAAATCCAATTTATTAGGAGGTAAAGTAAAACAGCAGTATTTTTTTACATATCTATAGCAAGCACCTTTTTCTCTTTGTGGTGTTTCATCAGATGAAATGTCTCACTTTCAGAACTAATATCTGAAAGGTTTAAGGGAAAAATTGGTAATTATTGACAGTTTATATGTAATCACAGGAGAATGAAATATAAAAAGTAATAACTTCCATACTGTTAATGTACTTGTATTGGACTTAAATGCAAGTATGTGTATGTGAATACCAGCTGTGTTGGGATATGTGACTGAAGCTAGGTATCTGTATCTAAGTTGTACTGATTTTGAAGAGAGTTTGGTAGTATAATTGTGTTGCATTACATTCAAATCACTAGAAAAAAAGTTGCTTGAATCATTGTGACAGAAGTCTTTCCATAAAGACGTGTACTGTGTTATGCTTTTCACACTTCTGATGTTTAACCTCTCTCAGTTAAAAAGCTGCCTCTGAAAGAAGTGTCTGTTATTAACTGGGGGCTTCAAGGTGCCCCTTACCTGAACGGGCATGCTCAGTGTTGGTCTCCCCACACCATGAGCTTCCTGTTCATTTTTCCCAACTGCTTCTCAGGGACTGATGTCCATCCCTAATCCTGCAGACCTCAGTTCATCCTACCTCATAGTTGATGGATTCGTTGCACATTGGTCTTGAAATCTTTTTTTTTTTTTTTTTTTTTTTTTTTTGGTGAGTGTATGCGCACGCCCATTTGCAAACTGATGTGAGCTTACTGTAGCCTGCACTCTGGGTCAGCCTGAGGACATGTGGCCACATGAGAATGGTACGTTGCCCAGTCTAATACACACTGCTTTGCAGCAAGGCTTACTACCAAGTGCTTGATGGTACGCTGTCATAGCAGAATGGCTTCTGGTCAGCTCCTGCAAAATAAGCTCATATCTGCCTGCAAAAGACTGTGCATATTATAACTCTTAAATCCTTCCCAGGTAGCTGTAATAATTCGAATGGCTGTCCTGAGCAGGTTGGTCTTCCTTCTATATTCAGGCCCTTCAACCATAGTATGGCTTTCTAATATCTTTCTGATCTCAAACCCTCCTTATTTCCCAGATGCATCTTTCTCTCCTCTGTAACTGCTTCAGATATTTATTTGGCCTTCATCCATCTTCTTTAGATAATTTCATCCCACTTCGTCTTTGTGGATGCTCTTTGGCAGAGCCAGAACATTTGGAGAGGGTTGAACTTACTTTTGCTTCACACCAGTGGGAGCTTTCTTGTTTACCTTTCCCCAGTCGCTGTTGAAAGTCTCGTCTCTCTGAACAAGATGTCAAGTTTGGGTTTGTGCAAGGGAGAAGAGTGTAAGTTGACCTCTGAAATGGTGACTGGTTGCATTCAGCTAAGATGATGAGGCTGTAGGAAACAGTGACTGTCATAAAGAAAACGTTAGAAAGCCCTGTGTTTTACTGGAGATGACCAGAGCAGCGCACACTCTGTGCAGGTGGTACCTTAGCTAGCGTGCCTTAAATAGCCACCCCCCGCCAATGAACTGAATAGCTCTCATGCTCTCCACCTGTGACTACGTAGAAGCCTCGTCTTTCCATTTCAAGATCTCACTGGATGGGGAGGTAATGAAAAGCGAGAAGATGTAATGGTGCTGCTGGCTGAGTCACTGCTGTGCTTACCTGGTAAATGGAAAGTCCGTTGTCATCTTCCATGGGAGAATTTCTTCTAAGTCTCTGGCTTGGTTGTCCTCTGCCATTTTCTTTTTCTCTTTTTGTTTGCGTTTTTGAAGTTGTTTTGAAGGGACATGCATCAGTATCTGTTGCATTGGGATTATCAGTGATGGTGCTCAGTATCACAGGAAAAGTAGTGGTCTTCAGAATACTTCTAAATCTCTAATGTTGACAGGTTTTAAAGACATCAGGTTATATTACATAAAGTTTAATGCTAACAAATATACTAGGACATTTGGGGGTTTTTTTCAGTCTTGTGTGCCTTTGGCTTTTTGATGCATTCACTGATGAAAACTTCAAATAATATCTGACAGGTGCTGTAATACAATCCATCCCATATACAGTGCTAATAAATAGTTTGCAGTGGCCATTATGTAGGAATATTCAGATCTTTGTGTTTGTCACTACAATATATGAATTATTATTATATGAATTATTCTTTCTGCTGATCTTCCCTTTTCTCAGTTTCTTGAGAGTTTCTTATGCTTTTTCAATTTGATTATTAACTACAGGTTTTAATACTCTTTTCTGCTTATTCATTATCATTCTTAAGCAAGTTCTTAATACATTTAAAATTATGCTATGTGGGACCAGTGCTGCAACTCCAATCACACAGTAATCCAGCTGAAATCAGCATGAAATCATATGAAAACCAGCAGCAAAATCGGACCTTCTTTGCCTGTTATTTTCTTCTTTCCTGAAAGAGGTTATTTACAAACTGCACTTTGCATACTTTTGTGATTTGGGGAAAGAAAATGTTTTAATACAATATAGTACTAATTAATTTCACATAACTTCACATACTTTGAAATGGTTTAGATAACTCAAAGCTCTAAATACTGTGTTATACCTATGACTTATAAATTTATTCTTAATGTTCATCTTTCATAAATTGCCAGACCTCAGTGTGACATGTTAGAGTAATCACCCAATTACTTGCCTCCCCACGAAGACACTAGTACCTTACCTCATTAAGCTGTGTGAAAGTTTGACTTTTTTCCTTTGGGATTTCAGCTATGACTGCTTTATTTGTGCTAGGGAAATACTGTATCTTTGGTTTATAGTTTCTGATTCCTTTAAACTTATCAGGGAAAGTCAAGTGAAAACTCAGTTTTGAATCCCTGTTATTTATAGGGGGGTTTACAATCCCTAATCTCAAATTTAGAAATCAAGAGGAGACACGTTATACAATGTCATCTTAACCCAAAGTGTCAACTTACTCACCACCAAGCTAGATTTCTGTCCAAAGACTATCCAAAAAAATCCCAGACAAAATTTTTTCAAGACTTTTTGTCCTAATATACAGTCTGGACCTTGGTTTTTACTATGAATTTAAGGTGATTTTAAGTTAATAGAATCTCATCTGAGGACTTTAAGGAATTTTAAGAATTTACTGCTTTAAGATTCTAATCTGGTTTTAGATTCAAAATCATAAAATGCTGTAGTTTTCTTTCTTCCAATTTAATTTTTCATCATGCAGTGAAGGTACAGGGACAATTGTGAAAATCAAAGATCTATTAAAATATGTATCTTCCCATCCCATTAGTTGCTTATACGGGAGAGTAACTCAAGATTTTTTTGTTTATAAAGCCCCATACCTTTCAGATTTTCATACTTCATATTTCCAAACTTGTCAAACCTTTCACAAAATACCATTAATTATTTTTCAACTAAAAAAATTTGTAGCAAGCTCTCAGAATAGAAAACCAAAGGGGAAAAGTGCTTTTAAAACATGAATGTAACTGACCCAGCAGTATTTTGTGGATAGATCAACTTTTGGAAGGAACAAGTTATCTCATTAAAGCAATTTGTGTTAACTGTGAAGCCTGAATATCACATGTTTTTAACTGTTTTGTGGATGAATGATCTGTTTCACAGAAATTTACAGCTAATGCATTTATCTCACCGTCTTATTTCTGTTCCAGTTCTCTTCTAAGCATCCAGAGTCTATTGATACCTATTCTTAGGAACTCCTATAATCGGTTTTGAATATAACATTCTGCTGCAAACTGACAAAAGAAAATGTGGGAGCAGCAGAAAATAAATAGCACAGGCTTTCTATCCGTCATCTGTTTAGTTTCTTAAGAAATATACGTATATATGAAGAAACATTCTTCTAAACATACATATGAAACATGTTTCTTAAAAAACTGAACTGATACATGTACATATGTGCATGTGTATATGTGTAGATACATACATATATAAAGGGCTGATTACTGAAGTTAAAACATGTTTCTGTCTTTACTGACTGGTGCAAACTCTGAATATCTGCAGTTGGGTATAAATGGAGCTGGCTTCTTACAGTGGGACCAGCACCT